ATTTTTATATTTTATTTTTTAGAAGATAATTTTGAAACATACGTAAGTTTTAAAAAAACATTAAAATATTAAAAAAAATAATAAAAATATTATAATCGAATAAAAAATTACGAAATGAAAAAAAAAATAAATTTTATTCTTTAATTTAAATTAGAAAAAAGTTAGAAATAATAATATTATTATTCATTATTATACATTTTATAATAATATATACTTTATATTTTTTGTGCAATTACAAAATTAATATTTATATTATCCTTTCTATTACTTTTTTATCTACGGATTGCGCGGCCAAATCAAAGCAATATGGCGGCTTGACATAATAACTTTTAATACGGAATATATTATTTTGATTATAACGAAATAATCATTACAGAATCCAATTAAATTTCGATTTATATGAAAGTATATGAGAAAGTATCTTGTGCTATATAAATTTGATTATAACATATTTGCAAACCAAATAAAAGTAGAGATTTTTTTAGTTTAAAACTGGATGTGCTTCCAAGATTTATTTTATTAATGGGTACAAAGATATCCTTAATTAATAAGTTAAATTAGTAATGTTATGTAGTAAGTTTTAGTATCAATTATCATCTTTCTATGAAGAATTATGTCGTCTACACAAAGCAAAATGAGAGGTACACAAATAGTATAGTTCAAAATAACCTTGTATTTTATATATTTTTGGCTTTTTTCTATCATTTTCTAAAGTATATATAAATTATTTTTATTTATTTATAATTATTATATATGATACAAATTTCAATCAAATTTGAAATACTATAATTTTTTAAATATAGGTCCTGGAAGACCACCAAAATCAAAAAACTCTTGTACATGGTGTGGAGAAACTAAACAACCTTTAAAATATGTTCTACCAACACAACATGGAAAAAAAGAATTCTGTTCAGAAACTTGTTTATCTGAATTTCGTAAAGCTTATGTACGAGGAGCTTGCGTTCAATGTGACAATGTTATTAGAGGTACACCAGTGAGATTAGAACAAAAAGATGGACCTACAAAAGATTTTTGTTCTTCATTTTGTTTAAATAAACATCAAAAAAAAGAAGGACAAACAGATATGAAGAAAAGTTGGTAGTTTATAAAAATTTAAAAAATATTAATAAATCTTATATACATATTTATTAATGACTGTCTTATTTTAATAGCTAATAGGGACCAATCATCACCTGCACCATCTCTTACACCATCAGGATTAATAAGTGGAAATAATATTCCATCTACAACTCAATCATTTACGAATACAAATCATACAAATATATCTCATTCTCCATCAACTTCCACTGGTCCATTTCAATATGAAACTTATCAAACTTTTGATTGGGATCTTTACTTAAAAGAAACAAACAGTCAAGCTGCACCTATTGAATGTTTTAAACAGGTATTTGAATTATAAATATAAAAATTCAATTTCATGATTTTTTCATTAAAAAGAAAATTAAGAAGAAAGTAAAATATAATAATATTGAAATTATATTTTAGCATGAAATTCCACCAACTAATGAATTTAAAATGGGGATGAAATTAGAAGCTCTTGATCCTCGTAATTTAACATCAACATGTATTGCAACTGTTGTTGGAGTTCTTGGTCCTCGTCTTAGATTAAGGTTGGATGGTTCAGATAATAAAAATGATTTTTGGCGTTTAGTTGACAGTAATGAAATTCATCCAATCGGTCATTGTGAAAAATCGGGTGGTATGTTGCAACCACCATTGGGCTTCCGAATGAATGCTTCCAGTTGGCCAATGTTTCTTTTGAAAACATTGAATGGTGCAGAAATGGCACCTGCAAAAGTATTTAAACGTGAACCAAAAACACCACGTTGTAATATGTTTGAAGTTGGACACAAACTGGAAGCTATAGATAAAAAAAATCCTCAACTTATATGCACAGCAACTGTTGGTGCAGTTAAAGATGATATGATTCATATTACATTTGATGGCTGGAGAGGAGCATTTGATTATTGGTGTCGTTTTGACTCTAGAGATATATTTCCTGCTGGTTGGTGTTTTAAAAGTGGTCATCCATTGCAGCCACCTAGACAGAAATGTAAGAATTATAACTCTCCTTTAAATTATGTTATTAAAATATATTTTTTACTAAGTAATATACATAAATATTTGTAGCAACAGGGCCTAATAGATTTAAATCAAGGACAAGTAATGTCTTACCAGTAATGGCAGTATCTGGTGGAGGTACTAATGGAGAACCAGCTGTTGCTTTAGTGAGTCCAGCAGGTTCAAGTGCTCCACCACAACCAGCTACAGAACCTGATACTAGTACAGCTAATACCAAACCACATTCTTTAGGGAATGGTATGTCTTATTTCAATTAAATATTTTATTGTATGTTTGTATTTTTTTACACTTAATATTTTTATTATGTTACAGTTACAATTTATGTAAATCATAATTGCACATGTGGTCCTTATTTTGATCCTCGTAAAGTAAAGGCAATGCCAGCACAATTTGGTACTGGCCCTATTTTAAATGTTACAAGAGATATATTTCAAGCTTTTTTAATGGCAGCAATGAGTCCAAGACAAATGTTGAGTTTATTAAAACGTGGTGAAGGAGAAACTATAAGTTTAATTTTAGAAAGCAAACCTACTTCCGTTAGATTACCTATATTTATGGAAGAAGAAGATTTTTACACATACATTAGGCGACAACTTGAAGATCTTTGTGCATGTGAACATATGTTATTTAGAAGGAAAGAGCCTTGCAACAAATGTCCAAATAGTCAACAACCACAATCTACCAATAGTGAAGAAGTAGTTAATACTGCTACTACGACGAATAATAGTACTATTACTGCAGAAAAAAGAAGATGGTCTCAAAATCAACAAAATCTGTCATCAACTACTCAACAACAAACACAACAAAATTCTGTACAAAGTATAAACAATTCATCATTGTCATCACCAACAGCTGCAAAACAACAACGAAAATCTGTTCCAGGTTAGTTTTATTTTTTTAAATAAAATTATTATTGATAAATAATTCATTGAAGATCAAAAATATATTATTATTATAATTAGAGCTTGAAGCTGCAACATCAACTACTCAATCTGAAAGTTCTATGAATCGCACACCTTCTACTGAACCAGCAGAATGGACTATTGAAGATGTAATTCATTACATTGGTGTTACTGATCCTGCATTAGGACAACATGCAGATTTATTCAGGAAACATGTAAGAAACATGCACTTTATATTATTTCATATTTATTTTTTAATAGTATTTAAATTGAGTAATAAATTCGTTCACATTTTTTCAAAATTATATTGAATATTACATTATATATTATATATATTATATAAACTCTAATTTTATTTTTTTTCTTGTTTTCTTTATTTTTCTAAACAATTATAAAATTTTCGTCTTTTTATAAAAAATTTAAGCACGTATCTTTAGTTAATTCCATCTATAATATTTAATAATTTGCAAAGATATTTTTTTTATTTGATGTATAATAATATTTTTTTTTGTAACATTAGTAAATAAATAATAATAATAATAAATGAATAATAATAGCATAAATAATAAATAAGTTAATTCTAATGTTGCCATTATAAGATCATTACTATCATATGATTCAATTATAAATGATAATTATTTTCTGCTTACTTGTATGATCAAAATTAATAATAAAGTATATATTTTACATATGTGCACTAATTTTTTCAAAGATATAACAATTGTTCAATATAAACCAGTATATAAATAATAGTATATAAATTTTTTTCAGTATATAAATAGATTTTTAAATCTATTTTTTTTTATATATTTTTTTCTTTTTTTACTTAAAAATAAATTTTTGTATTTTATTTTATTCTAAAAGAAGATAAAATAGTATATTCTAATTAATTTGAATAAAAATAATTTGTATGAAAAAAATAATAAATGATATTTATATTAGATATTAAGAAAAATTCTTACCATTTTTTTTAATTTTTTAATTAAAAAAATTATTTTTATTAATTAATTTTATTTTTATTTTTATTTTTATTAATAA